CAAAATTTGGCCAAAATTTGTACTACAGAATTGCAGATCTTTGCCAAAAAACGGAATGATCTGCGTTACACAACTTTTATTAAGAGAATTATTGATTGGCTTCACTTCACAATACTGCGGATTGTATATTCTGGGTGTGCAATCCACCAATCAGCAGACACGAAATACACGCGATGATATAAATATTGATCAAATTACAATCTTCTTTAGCTGCATATAAATTCTTTTCCTTCCAAAAAGTGTTGAATACGAACGTATCCACGTGTGGTAAATAAGCAATATCTTTAAAGCTCAGTAAGCTAAACCTAATTTACGTACTGTAATTTCTCTTTATTAGGTGCTACTTTTATAATCGCTGCCCAATACCTTCAGTAATTGAGCTGTTGTCCGCTTTGTTCCTCTGAAGTTATTAATACTTTCTGTTCGAGAAGTAAGTCATTTTGAGATTCAAAATATGCTATTTTTATATACGACTGCTTTAAGCACGATCTAAAGGATTCCTATGAATTTATCTGAGATAGCAAACTTAAAGGTTGTGTGAATAATATGTCATCAATGGTGCCTCAACACATGGAAATAGAGCTTACGCATGAGGATATTCTTAGATTTCTTCATCAAAAACAAAATCAAGATGTCGAAGGTTCAAAAAAATTTTTAGAATACGGCTCGAGTTACCTTTTGGCTTGCTATAAAGACAACATTCCGGCCCATTGGTTATGCAGCGAAGAATTTGTGGAAATTACGACTGAATTGCTACATTTATTCTCATTGAATTATACTAATGAACAAGTTGAAGAATTTAAAAATGTAATGGCGGATCAGCTTTCTAACTGTGTTGATTGTGTTGAAATATATTATATTTATAAAGAAGATATGCGTCAAAGGTAAGATTATTTATCGAATTGTAAATATGCTGTTAACTTAGCATAATTATATCCTATAATTCTTTTATTTTTATAGATACCTCAAAGCATATAACAATACAAATGATGTAAATGTGCTTTTTGATGTCACTATAAAAGCTTGGGACAGATTTCGTGTTCACAGTTCTCTACAAAAGTTGAACAGGCAATTAAAAAGTTCATCGTCAGATATACTGACATCAAATTCAACTATCGCAATATTATCAGAGATTATGTTCAATCCGTCTTTGCTTATTGATCGTTCGATCAGTTCACTCTATGCTGATTTGTTTCTTTCAATCCCACAAAATATTTTGGAACAGATGTGTAGAGGCTTTTTGCCCGGAATGATTATTGTATCGGTTCATGAGAATGATAACTTTAGGCAGTTATTCTGGAAAATAATGCAAGGTTTTCCATTGGAAAATTCAGTCAAACTAGAAGATTTCAACGCTCACGGGTATTCTGGCCCAATGCAAAGTGTAATTCGTCGTTTAGAGGATTGGAATAGTAAATGTTCTCATTTTCAAGAATATCCATATACAAAAAATCTCAAACTGTATTGGAAAGGTCTTAGAAGAATATTGTGCTGCCTAGATTCATCCACAATTGTCAACGGGTTGTGTGAAGAACCTATTAAAATCTGCAATTTGGTCATCTCCACTATCAATAACCAAGAGCAGCAAGAAAGTGTGTTCGTTGAAGTTATGAAATGTTTTCAGGCTCTTTTGAAAAAAATTAAGATTGGATTTTGGAACAGCGCATCAGTATCTGCACAAGATTTAATGAATTATATATTTAGCAGCTCAATTTTTCGTAAAACTGTAGAATCTCTTCCAAAAAAACGCAAGCATCTACTAGGATGGGTTACTGAGCTTATAGAATCATCAGTGAATGTCTCTCCAACCCTTTTTGAATATTTGTTGTATTCGTTTCAGAGGACCTCGTGGCCTAGTGAATTTGCACTCGAATCTTTAGATTTGGCGTTAAAAATATTGAAAAGACACAACCTCAAAATAGATTCAACATTAGGTTTGAAGCTAAAAAGTGTAGTCACTAACGAAAAGAAAGAGTTTATTGACGTTTTACTTGGAAGTCGACGTCTTTCTTTTATTAATGAGATATTATCTCTCAATGTCGCGCCAGCGTCAAATGACTCTAGTGTCCCGTTCAACAATGGTATACTTTCACATTCAACTGTTTTGGACACTCCAATAACTTCAAAATCTTCTTCAAAATCAAACAATTATCAAATTCCTGTAAACCCCGAACCACCTGCCTTTGAAAAGAAGCCACAATCAACAGTATTTAAGCCTTCGAATACGAGGATGCCAATCTCAATGAACACTTCAAGTAAAACATTACCTACTAAAAAAGGAACAATAGGCAAAATGAGGGATAAGTTCATTAAAGAGAATCAAGCCAAACATAAAGAGAGACAAGACATGATGCGACATGCAAGCACATCTAAGATATCAAACCGAAGACTTAACTCTATTACTGGTACCTCGAGTGCATTTGAAGAGCGAAGTGTAAATACCTCGAAAACAGCATATAATGGACCCAGTTATATGGAAATTGATAAACCATTAGATTCTACCACATATACTTCAGGTGCTTCGGGTACTTCAGGTACTTCAAGTACCTTTAATTCTATGGAATTCAATATTGAGCAGCCTAAGCCTCCAGAACAACCTCGGCGAACGAAATTGCTCGATTTCAATGAAGTAATTTCTCATCACAAAGCACTTCAAAATAATAAACAAAAAGATAGAATTGTACAAATACGAAGGAAAGAAGACAATATGAAACGACTTAGACCAAACTTAAAAAGCCTCCACAAACAAGTTTTAACGTGGAATGTAAATTCTATGGGAGATATACCACCAAATATTCTTAAGAACAACTATAAACATATTCCAGATAAATTTCAAACGGTGGAAGAATATATCAGTGTCTTTGAACCACTTTTAATACTTGAGATATGGCAAAGTTTTATCTCAGCAAAAGAGGAAATTGATGATAGTGGTGATTCTTATGTTGTTGTTATAGACGGTAGTGTATCGATTGACGATTTTATTGAAGTGGAATGTCATTCCGTGGATAATGGACAACTCAAGAATCTGTCAGAAAATGATCTTGTAATGATGAAATCAGTAAATAATGGTGAAGGATTCTTTAAAAGATCCAAAATTTTTCTCGCTATAGTTAAGAGTGTTTATTCTAGTAAATTGAATATGCATTGCTATTTCAATGATGATCCTCATAACATCAGAGGTGAATTGAGACCGCGCAGTTCATGGACAGTTGAGAAAGTCATAAGGTGTGGTAAATTTTAATTCGGATTGTTATATTACGTTGTACTTATTTCCAATTACTTTTATAGTTATTCGTTTATAATTGTAGTTTAACGCCTGCGGCACGTGAATATGCTGCGCTTATGGCATCTCCTTATTATAAATTCATTAATTTGATTATGCAACCAAATTATCCTAAAATTTCAAAATGTCCGAAGGCACAATTAGAACGATTAATCAATGTATATCAAATTAATGAATCTCAAGCTGAGGCAGTATGGAAAGTTTTGCAAAATAAAGATAATATCTCTTTAATACAAGGTCCACCAGGAACTGGTAAAACAAGCACAATCGTGAGCATTATAAGTGAGTTGAGATCAATATCCGCTACGTATAAACCACGGATTTTGGCTTGTGCACCTTCCAATGCTGCTGTTGATGAAATTGAAAAAAGACTTAGGGACGGTATTTACGACTCTAATGGCAACCTCGAAAAGGTTGTTGTTGCTAGATTCGGAAAGTTTGAGCATGTTATTAATGAAGAAACGAGCAATTTGAAAATACGGATGGCAACTCTTTCACAAGAGATTAATGAAAAGAAACGCCGCCGTCAGGATCCGCGAATAAGCGGATGGGATGCCGAGACATTAGATGCTCAAGTAAGCCAGATAAATGAGGAGATTGAAGAGATCCGAAAAACATTGCGTGATTCTGAAGATAACAAAAATGAAAAATCTCGACGGATTAATAAAGAACTTCTTGAAGCAGACATTATCTGCGCAACATTGACTGGGAGTGGTCATGACATGTTGGCAGATTTCACTTTTCAAGCAGTGATTATTGACGAAGCGGCACAAGCTATCGAATTGACATCTCTCATACCTATGAAGTTTAATCCAAGCTGGTGTGTTCTTGTTGGTGATAGCAATCAATTACCACCAACAGTTCTTAGCAGAGTTGCCACTGATTTTTTTTACGAGCAAAGTTTATTCAGCAGAATTCAAAGGAGTGCACCTGATTCAGTCCATATGCTAAAGATACAATATAGAATGCATCCAGAGATTTGTCGATTTCCCAGCCAGTTATTTTACGGTTCTGAATTACAGGATGCAATGGGATTAGAACAACTTCGAACTCAGAGATGGCATGTAAAACGAATCTTCTCTCCATATAGATTTTTTGACGTGTTAGGCATAATGGGACAAGATCAAAATTCTTTTTATAATAGAGAAGAAGCAATTACTGCTGTTAAACTAATTGAAACACTCATAATGGATTTTCCAGAAATCGATTTTAGGAACCGAATTGGTGTAATAACACCATATAAGCGGCAACTTGCCGAAATAAAACGATTATTTATTCAAAAAATTCCTACTGATTTATACAGGGGAATGGAGTTTAATACTGTAGATGGTTTTCAAGGGAAAGAAAAGGATATTATCATCTTTTCATGTGTTCGTGCTGGAAGAGAAAGTAGTGTTGGATTCCTTAAGGATATAAGAAGAATGAATGTAGCACTGACTCGTGCCAAATCTTCATTGTTTATTCTTGGAAATCGATTTACGCTTGAAAAAAACTCTCATTGGAAAGAATTGATTGAAAACGCAATACAAAGGGGACTATACATTCGCGTAAGTTTTTAATATACCTATATGTTTGTAAATATTTAGCTTGACTTACGTTCCCTATATTTTAGTGTTCTGGTTATCAATTTGCAATGGAACTTGATGCAGAAGTTGGGCGGGCGGCATCGAATGAAGTTATGGTAAGTTTCGAATTTGATGTTGAAAAAACGTATTTATGAATAACAAATATTTGTATATAGATTGTACCTTCAGTTTCTTTTCGAGACGCAAGAAATAACACACAAGAGAATTCAATTGGATACAACGCACAAGAGAACTCAGTTGGATACAACACACAAGAGAATTCAAATGGATGGGATATACAAGAGAATTCAGTATGGGAAACAGAAGAGAATTTAATTGGAAACCAACCTATAAACCTAGGGTCTGGTGGTAGGGGTCATAATTTTGGAAGAGGTTCACGACATAAGCGTAATTATAGTGGTCGTGGAAGGGGAACGTATCGCGGTAATAATAAGCGTAAAAATGAAAATAAACGATTTAAACGATGATGGACAGATACGAAACATTTGCTGTGTAATAGTAGTATTATTAATGTTGATTTCGCAATAAGGTTTATACTTATACCAAATATTCACACCAAATATAGAGTTATATTTCAAATATAAGAATTACGTTGTATATAATAATATGCAAAATTCCAGTACCATCCGGAGGGCAAGTCCATAACAATATTTTCACATTGGACGACTTGCATATGATTTTTATTTTGAGGGTCTATTTTGGAGCATGATCTATTAAAGATTTGATGATGAACGTAACGCGCTTGTATAATGATTTCTATGAATGGGTCTGAATTAATAATTGTTTAATTGAGTTTAATGTTAAAGCAGTTTGGTAATATTTAAGACTAAGATGATTAAAAATATAGACAAAGTTAAGTTCGCCATTTACCGTTGGCATTATAAATTTAAAAAATAAAACATTATGTAATAACGTTGATTATACAATTAAATTTAAATTTTTTATGGAAATTACTATTTCTATCGTGGAATATTATCAAATTTACCCTAAGCTCTAACCCTAATTCTGGCCATGATCTACAAATCAGTGAAAATCGTTTATCGTTACTATATTGCGGTTTGCAAAAATTTGATGATTCTGATTTCCGATTTTTTTAGACTTTAATATACATAATTTTAATAACTATATTGATAAATTATTAGATTTGAGTTTATTATTACATGTTTTATAAATCTTATATATATTAAAGTCTAATATAAAAGTCTAAAAAAATTGTTAAAAAAAATCGGAAATCAGAATCAGAAATCATTGATTTTTTTTTTTTTTTTTATCAAATTTCACATATTTTTGCAACCGCAATAATAATTTTGAACCGACTATTAATCGATTCACCAACTAATTGATTAATCGATTAACTATGGTGCAAATCATCTAAAGACATCCAAAAACCATAACTCCTCGATGGATTTCGCAAAAAAAAAATCTATTTCCTTGTATATACTGTATATATTTAGTATTGAATAAGATCTTAAAATAAAACTTTTTTTTTTTGCAAAGGTAAAATTTAAAAAGAATCTTCAAGACTAATAATCAGCAAGGTTTTTGTTTGTTTGGTTAGCTTCTTCAAAATTAAATTACTTAAGTAATGCAGATTTGTGACTAGATGATTTGTATTATAAATTATAAAATAATAAATAATTGATCAATTTTTGATTGGCTTAATTAATCTTTGTATAAATTAAGTATATACTGTATATGGGGGAAGTTAATAGAAAAAGAACAAATTTTTTCTAAATTAAAGTTTTTTTAACTTTAAGTTAAAATATTTTAGCAACTACTAAACTACAGTAAATTCAATAAAATTTTTTTTAATTTTGATTTGGTAAATTTTAAGATTTTAATTGGTGATTTATGAGTCAACCAGAAAGTGATTATAGTAAAATATAATGCAAATTACTTATATAAATTAGGTTTTGTGAATGTGGTATGCATGCATCTAAAACTTTTTTTATATTAAGCTAATTACCTTTCTGGCTTAAGAAACTTTTGTAGAGCTTGTCAAGATATATATAATAGTGGTTAAAGTGTCAAAATTGACCTAAACTTCTTTGCAAACAATAGTATTGTTTGCATATTAACAAGCTTTACAAAAGTCTCTTAAGCCAGAAGGGTGATTAACAATATAAAAAAAAGTTTTAGATATATGCATGCCATATTTACAAAACCTCAATTTTTATAAGTAATTTGCATCACATTTTACTATAATTACTCTCTAGTTAACTTATAGATTGTCAATTTTTTTTTTTTTTATTTGCTAATATCAAGTATAAAAATAGAGTATATAGTATATATTGTATACTGTATATATATATATATATTTCAAGCAGTTATATTACAACTATAAAATAAGCAATTTTTTACAACTATGAGATCTATATATAGAGGTGCCAAGCAAATAAATTTTTTAAAACTTTGAAATAAAATATCTTAACAACTATTAAACCAAACTTAATAAAAAATTTTTTATTTTAATTCTATATAGTTATAGAATTAAAATAAAAAAATTTTTATCAAATTTGGTATAATAATTGTTAAGATATTTTGATTTAAAATTTTAAAAAAACTCACTAAAAACAATTTGCTTGGTTTCTACTAGTACCTTCCATATAGCAATACTGTTTAACTAAAATATGGCTTACTCAAGGTTGTTGGTTTACCATAATTTTTAAAATTTTTTGGTAAATTTACCAGACTGTTTGGTAAATTACTAGCAAATTTACCATTAGTTATTTTTAAGAAAGTTTATATAATATAAAATTATGTGATTTGATAATTAAAGTTTTTTTTTTTGGCCAATCAAATTATATAGACAAACTCAACCTTAAGTATATAAAGGTAAATTACCAAATCTTTGGTAAATTACCTGGTAAATTACTATAATTTTACTATGGTAAATTTACCACCTGCAACCCTAGGCTTATCTAGTTGTTATTTGGTATCTATATACAATCTGCCAAAGTAAAAACAACTTTTTTATTTTTTCTCAATCTATTTTGGATTTTAAATTTACAATTTATTGGCTAGAATCTATTAGCCTATTTTAATCACCTCTTTCTTTAAAATTTTTTTCAGCTTGATTTTGGCAAAAAGATTTTCAACAAACTATTTTTATAATAAAAAAAAATAAAAAAAAAAACAAATAGAAAAAAAAAAATAATAAATAAAAATAAAAAAAAGGTGTCTATGTAATTTAAATAAGAATGCAAAATATAAAAATATAAAGATGAAAAAAATACTGTATAAAGAAAAAAAAAGTCTTAATATATAATAGAAAAAGTGCATTGTTATAATTTATACTAGGTTAAAAAAAATTATATATTAATTGCAATATTTAATATATCTCTATTATAAAGTTTTATTTTAGTATTAGATTATTTTTTTTGGTATTGGTATCTTACATCTGGTATTTTAGAAAAAGTATATAGTATATTATAACTTATTATAATAATAATACTGTATATAAAACTACTAATTTTGTATTTTTAACCAATTATTTAATACTTCAACTTTACTATTTTCTCTTTTAACCAATCTTTAAGTCTACAAATTCTTTCTATTTCTACTTACTATCACTTTTTTTCATTCTGAATTTTAGATACTAACAAAAAATGTAAAAATATTTATTATATTTATAATATTGAAAATATTAAAGAAATTAGATAACAAATTAATAATTCTATTTATAAAAGATATACCAAACTCCAAATACACCTCACTTCTATAATCAATAGCATTCTAAACTGTTATAAAGATCTTGTTAAATTTAACAATATTAAGATATTATTACAGATTCTTCAACTATTAAATCCTATATTTAACAATACTTCAATAACTAGACTACTTTCTGAGATATTGACTATAATATCTTCCAAACTTATTAGGAAACTGAATATAACTCTCTAACTAGTATTCTAGTATTCTTTTAAATTTCTTTTAAGAGAAAATTACCTTTATAATTTATCAACTTTCAAATAACAAAATATATAGTTTTTTTAACATTAGCTATGAAATAATCAAACATACTAGACTTTCTTTTATTTTAGCTATTATCTTTCTATTTAACTATTGCTTAATACTTCAAACTATATCTAAATAGTAAAAAAAAGGTTATATCTTTTCTATTTCTAAAAAACTCATCTTTGATAATAATTTTTTTTTTTTTTTTAAAATATTAAGGGGACCACTTAGGCCCTTGGCACTTTATTAGTTCAAGTGGTAGGCCAATATTAATTT